TTGGGAGAAAGGGAGACTCCAAACTAATCCACATGGTGAATTGAAATAATTAAAAGCACCACACCTGTGATGAAGCCCTTGSTTATCTTTACTAACAACTTGTCATTTYGGAAAATTGGAATTTGTGACTTAGGCAAAACCTTGTGGATTGCCGTCAATTACCATTGTGGAAACCCCATCTTRTTGAATATTATGTCATCCAAGGTTGAGAAACAACTCATTCATTTGATATATGAAGTRTATTCCTTGATGTGCRTATTTTTTTATTGCAATTTGCAAGTAATGTTTTTGCTAGCAGTCTTGCTCTGTGAAACTATACATTCTGACTTTGTGATGTAGAAAATCATATATTTGTATTTCATAATATCCATTTCATAATATCCTTGAAAACAACACCAGATTTTTTGGACAACATGTAGCCATTTCATATCATGACGTTAATGGTAAACTTGAGTACCTTGAGTAGGAAGTGGCACAGTTTTGTATGAAAGATACTTAACTGAATTCTATTACAGAGAGTAAAAGCAAAATATGTTTTACATATCTTGTACAAAGTGTATATATGATGAATTATAATGTAACTGGAAAATCTTAACTCAATTTCAAACAAATATAAGGGCAATTTTGTTTCAGAAAATAGCGTGACCTCCTTGTCAGTCATGTTTTCTCTCATTTAGACCTTTGTTTGCACATTTCAAATATATTCTTGAGTTTATGATGACCAAATCAGCAGTTACTGTATGTTTTTCTAGAGATTTTRTACAAATAAGCATCATTTTTTCTTGGGTATCATGCTATCACTTTGTCCCTTGCCTGTTTTTTTTTTTGTAGACATTCGCTCTTGTAGATCTTTTTTTGTTGTGACATATTTATCAAATCACCTTATAAACTTTACTATTGATATTCCTTATTGACTGTGCAGATTTCTGTAAACTGGTCAATTCTTCTGCTCTTGTATTTACATACAGTTTGTTTTGTAAATAAGGGTTGTAATTCATAGATACTTTCAATGTTGAGAATTTGAACAAGGTTTAATGACTACCGACCACACAAACCGCAACATGGTTCTTTGCTCCGTTTCTCCTCAGGTTTTGAGCAGTGTTATAACTTTTTATCACAACTGCATTGAAATATTGAGAAATTGATTTCAAACAGAGGAAATGTTTGCTTTTTAGAATAAATTCAACATCTTTTTTTTTGCTTTTGTACATTCTCTCCACCCTTGAACCAACATGATATTAATTATTTTTATCATCTTAATTTAAAAGAGTTAGAGAAAATGTTTTTGATGTAATCTGACAATAAACTAGTCAACACACTTTTGGGGCCAGTCTTTTACGCTCTCTATCAACCCATGATATCTTGATTCTTTCATTTGAAGTGGTTCGTTAAAGACTATTGGTTGACGTGCAATCATGTATTCGTGCATTCTGTYTGTAAACCACTATTGTAATACTTGGTTTATCTTTCCTTCAAATCATTAATCCTAATCATCTTTCATCATGTTTTTGAATTTTCTATTTGTGAGAACAGCAATGCTACAATTCGCATGGTTTTTGTTGAATTTTTCACATATTTTGTACAAGGCAGCTCTGATGATTCTTTGCTGATCTAGATTTTGTATCATGTGTCAAAGTTGGAGCAAGTATTTTGAGTGTACTAGTAGTTAATACCATAA